GCTCCGCAGAGATGGGGACCGGTCAGGCCTTGTGATTTCTGACCCTTCCCGTCCGGCCAGGCTCCCAGCCCCCCTGAGGCCATGGGTGTTCTTTTCTTAGTTTGGTTCCCCTTCGGGAGCCACCACATAGCAATCTCTAAACCAAAAGGTGTAATCCCAGGGCGGGCGGCCAGAGCCAGAGGTGGCTAGTGGCGCATTCTCCCCAGCCACTCGCACTGGGTGACGTCCACGCCTTCCCACAGCTGCGTCTGAGAAGCGTGGCAGGCCAGGGCAGGCCCACAGGAGATCGCAGAGAATAGACTCCCCCAGGCCAGGCACAGGGCGACCCGCAGCTCGGGGGCCCATGTGGCATTTCCCTGCGAGTTAGAAACATCTGGCAGATGCAGCCCCAGGCCAGGGAGCACAGCTTCACCTGCCGCCATCGGTCACCTATTGGCCACACATGCCACGGAACCAGCTGTCCCGAAGCTCAGCTGCTGCGGCTCAGTGGGTAGAGTGTCGGTCTGCGGACCGAGGGTCCTGGGTTCCGTCTGGTCAAAGGCCCATACCTTGGTTGCAGGCTCCTCCCCGGCCTTGGTCTGGGCATGTGCGGGAGGCAACCAATTCATGTGTCTCTCACATCCATGTTTCTCTCTCTCTGGCTCTCCCTTCCACTCCCTCTAAAAATCAATGGGAACGTATCCTCAGCTGAGGATCAACAACAACAAAACCAAAACCTCAGTCGCTTAAAACAGCAGCCACTTCCTGCTCTGAGCTGGGCCGTGGGCTCACTGGTTCGTGTGCAGTCATCTGGGCTCAGCTTGGCGGCCCCGCAGGGCTCCCTCCCAGGCCCGGGGCCTTCCTGGGACAGGTGGGTGCTTGCATGTGGCCTCTCGTCCTCCAGCCGGATGGCCAGGATGGTTCGCAGGGTGGAGGCCGGGGTCCGAGCGACAAGCAAAGGCCCAGATGCCCCCTGGTGGCCTGAGCTCAGGACTGGCACACTGTCCCTCCTACCACAGTCTCCTCAAAGCAAGTGACAAAGCCAGCCCGGGGCCTGGGGGAAGGGAAAGACACTCAGTGCTTGGTGAGGGATGCTGTAAAGGCACATTGAGGGGACCCAGGGAGGGTAAGAAGCAGGGCTATTTTTGCAATCGATGCATCGCACACCCCCTTGGCCAGACACCTGCTTCAGATCCCAGCCTCCTTAACTTCTCTGCGTCCCTGGTCCTGCCTGGACCCAGCACGGCTCTCGTGACCCCTCTATCTGTGTCCTCCAGGTGGCATGCTGCCCACTCCCACTTACCGAGGCACCCTGCGTGCCCTGTCTCCTCTCCGCACACACTCAGCCCAGGGGCAGCAGTGGCCCGCGCCTGCCTGGAAACCAGTGTCCCTTCTGCTGGGGGGAGCGCCCTGGTTTTCCTTTGGGAAATGACCCCTGCCCTACTCCACGCCCTGGAGCAGTGCCGATCGGATAAGGATGGTCTTGTGACTCTGGCCCGGTGGCTCAGGGCCAATTCAAGACTGGAGTTAGAACTGTTTGGAAGGGAGGGTTCCTGTCTTCGGGGTGAACCGCTGGGCGCAGAGTGGGTGGAAGCCTGGGGGGAGCGTTCAGGACCTCCCCCTGCAGTGCACCTGCCCGGGTGGAAAGCCAAGGCCGGAGAGCAGAAGAGAGATCATGCCATACATCTCTTTGTTGCTGGATCCAACCATGCCTGAAGCAGGTCTGGACTTGTCAGATTCCAAGACAATTTGTAAACCTCCCCCACCCCCTCCATTTGTAAATTCTTAACTTTTATTTTAAGTTTCTGGCTTAGGCTGGTGTGAATGGGTCCTGTCCCTTGCAACACAGAGTGTTGACTAGTACACCCGCCAGCAGGTGGTTGTAGATATTCAGCCTTTTAATGTTCTCAGCGAATTCTTCCTTCATAAACGCATTTGCCAATACCTTTGGGCTGCCTCCTGTGTGCCGGGGGTAACGTTGGGTGCACACGTCTTAGGGGTCAGCCTCTCGGAGTTTGGTTTCCTAGGGTTGTATTTCATGGTGGTTCTACACCGAGTCGGTACAAAGCCCGATACGTGCACCAATATGTACACCCTATCCCCCACCAACTCCTCACCCAACAACTTGGTGGGAATCTATTTTCTCCTTGTGCTGGAGGCTGGACGTCCATGATCAAGCTGGAGGCAGGCTTGGTTTTTCCTGAGGCTCTTCTCCAAGGCTTGCAGATGGCCCCCTCCTCCTTGAGCCCTCACATGACCTTTTCTCCGTGTGTGTGCATCCCTATGTGTCTTCCTCTTCTAAGGGCACTAATTACATTGGTTTAGGGCCTCACCCATGTAACTTCGCCTACCCTTGATTACCACCCTAAAGACCCTATCTCCAATTGCAGTCACATTCTGAGGTCCCGGGGGTTAGAACTTCAACATTTGAATTTGGGGAGGGGACACGACTCAGCCCATCACACTCCCTTATCAGGGGCCAAGGGTAGAATAGTCCTGGTTTCGAGGAGGCCTCACAGATCACTGGACTGAGCTGAGGGAAAGGATTCCGTGAAGCAGGATTTCCTCACTTCTCCGCCCGCACACCGCCACGCTCCTGCCCTCACCTCCCTCCCGCGCTTTCAGGCCTTGCCCGTTACTCCAGTTCAGAGCTCATTTTCTGGCTGTGCTGTGTGCCTGCCTCCCGAGCTCTAGGCATCTGAGTGCACCCGTGACCACAGCTCACTCCCCACTGACTCTCCCCGTTCCCTGCCAACACCCCTCCTCCCGCTGCCCCCTCTAGAACAGTCTTGGCTGGTACCCTCCGGAGCCAAATTGTTCAGACTGTTGTCTACACCGGCTGCCTCTGCCTCCTCACCACCCACTCCCCTCCAGCGCCGGGCAATCTGCCTTTCTCTCTCTCCTCACCTCCCTGAACCTGCTGTGGCCTCTGACAAGGAGCTGCCTGCTGTCCTTATCTTAACTGACCTCTGTTACAGCCCGGCGGGCACTGTTTACCCTCCCTTGGCAAATCCTCACACACCCCGGCTTCGGGGGCCAGCTGTCTACTCCCGGATAACCTGTCCTCAGCTCACTTTTCCATGGGCCCAGTTGTTTCTAGACTTTGCACACAGCAAGTGCTCAATAACTGCCCCTTAAATCAAACCGAATACCATCCAGGCAGGGAGCTACCAAGACTACCGCCTCCTTCCCACTAAACAGTTTGGCCGCCTGTATCCGGGCCCTTAAAAGCAGGCCGGCGGCGTGAAAGTCTACGGAGGGCAGGCCATGGCCTGGGCGGGTGTAAGGAAACAAGGACAAGGGTGGGAAGTCACTGACATGCGGACAGGGAGGGCCAGGCCCCAGAGCTGCGGAGTGGATGCGGCTGCAGGGAACTCCCACCCTCCCCCCTCCGTCCCTCCGGCCGCGGGCCTCCACGTGGGGAGACACGCCCTGTGGTGCCCAAGCTTCGGGCTTTCTCAGAGGAAGCCAGAAACCCAGATTTTTATTTGAAATGTTGGCGACCAATTCAAAGCTTTAAAAAGGTGCTCAGTCTGAACCAAAGAAAAGGTTTCCGTGGCCAAGGGAGCCCAGCGGGGGGTCTGCAAGCCCTGGAATAAAACATCTGTGTCAATGACTGCGTTCATGCTCCTGGGTACGGGGTGGAGGGGTGGGTGGGGGGCTCCCACAAAGGGGCTTGGTTCGTTTCCAGTGTCAGCCAGGGAGCCGTGCTGGGGGCTGGCTGAAGTTCGGGTGGAAGGTGCTGGTGCCTTTTCTGAAGATGCCCTTTGTTCTGGAAACTCACCGGATGGGCCGCTTTAGTCACAGAAGGCGGGACCCCCACGGTGTTCTGGGGGACACTGAAGTCACCACGAAACCAAATGCTGTTCCACAGGCCAGCGGGGTCGGGGTCTGTCTAGTTGCACAAACGAACTACCTCTTTACCTTGAGAGTGGCCCCGAAATCTCCAAAGAGACTTTGCCTGGATTCTGGATGTCCCAGCGCTGGACGAACGCGGTGGTTGTGTGATCTTGGACCATGTGGGGTTGGTGTGAGGGTTTCCACAAAAGGAGACGGAGTGTCCAGGGGCAGGAAAGGTATAGAAGGGTAGGAAGGGTGGACTGGCCTGGACTGATCAGCCCTGTGGGTGCTTCCTCCTGCACCCTATACCGGCTGCCTCTGCGTCCTCACCACCTACTCACCTCCAGCACCGAGCAGTCTGGCTGTCTCTCTCTCTTCATCTCCCCGAACCTGCTGTGGCCTCTGACAAGGAGCTCCGGAGTGTGCCAGCTGACCGCTGTCTCTCTCATCTGCACAGGCCCCCAGTGCTTGTCTCCCCAGGAAACCCAAGGGACCCTGGGCTGCCGTCGTCCACCAAGTGTCCTTAATGGATGAGACTAGATGACCTTGAGTGCAACAGGGCTTTTTGTTTTTAATAACCCTTCTTTCTTCTTTTAAATATATTTTTATTCATTTCAGAGAAGAATGGAGAAGGAGAGATAGAAACATCAATTAGATTTCCCATTGGCCCAGCTGTTTCTACACTTTGCACACAAGTACAAAGAGATGAGAGAGAATCACTGATTGGCTGCCTCCTGCACACACCCCACTGGGGATTAAGCCCCCAACCCAGGCATGGGCCCTAAGCAGGAACTGAACTGTGACCTCCTGGTTCAGAGGTTGATGCTCAACCCCTGAGCCACGTGGCCTGGCACACAGGACTTTAGGAACCTTCCTGAGTGAGACAGGGCTGAGCGGGGCATCCCGACTTGGACTGGCCCGGACTGTGATCACTCAGAGCTGAACAGGGCAGGCGCTGGGGCGGTACTGGTGCTGACGGCTGTGTGATCAGCCCTGTGGGTACTGTCTCCTGCGGAAATAGACACTGTCCTCCCCATCATCCTGGGAGAAGGGGAGCCTCGGGGCCTGAAATGAAGACTCGGAGAGCCAGCTGTGGGCTGGACTGAAGAAGATTGTGTTTCTGGCCCAAATCCCGAGGCTCGAGGCGCCTGCGATGTCCTCAGTGGAGTGAGTGCGCCCAGGGCACAGAGTGTGCAGGAATGATTGCTGTCTCCTCATCTGCGCAGGCCCCCAGTGCCTGTCTCCCCAGGAAACCCAAGGGACCCTGGGCTGCCATCGTCCACCAAGTGCCCTTGCCCAGTTGGCTAGTTTGCTGGAATCTGAGTGGGTCCGCGGCCTGAGCGGGGCCAGTCGGAATCCTGCCACATGAGGTTTAAAATAATACCTAGAGATTCCAGCCTTGCTGGGACTGCTCTCCAGAACAAAAGAGATGTGGACTTGCCAGTGGGCCAGAGAAGCGAAGAGAGAGGAGAGCGAGGTACAGGTCATCTCTGTTGCCATTTCTAAGCATCTGCTATCAGCCATCCAATCTGCTTCATGAGAACATCAACCTCAGATGCTCAAGTCTTTAAAGAATGACTGATGTAACTCTGACTAACGAAGAAATCTGCAGAAAGTGGTTCTCTTTAAATAATTGCATATTATGCAAAACTGTGTGTGCGTGTGTGTGTGTGTGTGTGTGTGTATTGAGGCATATACACATATGTGCATACGTGTACACACACGGAAGAATTCATAGTCCTCTGGAGACCTCATAGACTCAGATACATGACATGCAGAACTAAATCTCAGATATAACCTCACACATTGAGATTGACATCTTCCCAGCAAACTTACATGGAAAAAGAGATGAGGAGAGACAACAGAGTGTAGTTTTATATCAGGACATTGCCGAAGGCTTGGTGGTGCTCAGGCTGAAACTCACCTCATCAGCTCTAGAAAGAGTGGAAAGAAATGACCATTCTCTTAGGTGTGACTAGGTTAATATGAGCCAACATCTTCCACTCTCTCTAAAATTCAATAGAAAAAAATGTCCTTGGATAAAGATTAAAAAAAAAAAAAAGAAGCTCAGAAAGCCTCTTCTATACCAAAAAAGATAAGCACATACTTTAAAAAAAAAAAAAAAAAAAAAAAAGCCCTGTCCGGTCTGGCTCAGTGGTTGGAGTGTTGGCCCAGACCACCAAAGGGATGTGAGTGAGATTGAATAGACTTCCAGCCATGAAGGAATAAAATGAGCCCTCAACCCCTAGGATTTCCAGAGGGTACGGGACCTTGGTCCCCAGCACTCACTTCCTCTCGTGTCCCCCATGACCTGAGGTAGGCACTTGAGAGACCCAGCAAACCACCCCTCCTGCAGTTTCTTCCGCTCCAGCACACACACACACACACACACACACGCACACACGCATGCACGCACACACATACACACACACACACACACAGTGGCAAGCCCCCAGTCCCATTACTGAAACACACAGGTATAGGCTGCGTGTAAATATTTATACAATCTGGCAACATCTCACTACACAAATCCATTTGTTTGGCAATGCTTGCCAATGCGCAGCCCCAGCATAAATGAGATTTACACCTGGA